TTAATATCTGAACTGTTTTAGCCAAGGTGCAAGGCACAGGATATACAGTGTAGACTAGCTCCTCTAGTCAGAAAGAATGTTAAGTAACTACAATGGAAGGGAGTAAGGCTTGCCTATCATTCCAAGATCTATCAAAATCGAGCACCTGAAAATATCATTCACTGAAGACAGAAACTCATTCACCTTGAATTTAGTCTTGTGAATTACTCTGAAAAGTAGAAGGAGACCTAAGTGATGCTCTGGCAGTTCTACACTCAGGTTTGAAATATTAGGAGTTCTAGAAGTTTCAACTTTGACACAATTGCCACCCTCCATAGCCAGGAAATCGAAGTGTGTATTGCTGCAGGAGGGAAGCCCTGGGAGAGACAGACTTTGAAAATGAATGACAAAAGGAGACAATGAGGACTAAGATGAGAACTGTGCTATAGGTGACATCAGGTACTACAGGGTCAAAAGGAAGTCACAGCATCTGGAGCATTCAGCCTAATGACCTGCCTCAGCTGACACCTATCACCAAATTTCAAACCCACAAAATCAAAATCAAATAAAAAACAGACAGGTACGTTATCCAGGTACCAGTGGCTGATGCCTATAATCCTAGCTATCTAAGAGGTTGAGTATAGGCCAGCTTGTGGAGAAAAGACCCTCCTGAACTGAACCCATGTTGAACATTGTGGTGGTCACTTGTCATTCCAAGCTACATGGGAGGCTGAGATCAAAGGATTTGAGGTTCTAAGCCAAACAGACAAAAAAGTCCCTGAGACTATCTCCACAGAGAAAAGCTGGATGTGACATGTACCTGTGATTCCAGAAACCATGGGAAGCCTAACAAAAGCAGACCATGGCTCAAGTAAGCACTGAGGCAGAAAGTAAGACTCTACCCTAAAATTAACCAGTGGGAGACAGGGCTGGAGGTGGTGCTCAGCAGTATCATGTCAGCCTAGAAAGTATGAAGCCTTGAGTTCAAAAACCAATATGTCCCTAAGGTAACACAATAAAATAATACAAACAGTAAGGCATGTTATGATGCAAAAGACAACTGAGTCGAAAAACCATTTCTGGAAATCACAGCTTTTAGGACTCAGAAGAAAATGGAGACTGAAGGACAAAAAGGAGGACTTGCAGATAGGCAGTACAGAAATTACAAGAGGAGGCCAGTGAACAAGGCGCAGGACTGTCACATGAAGTATCTTAGAAGATTAAAAACAAATATTATGCCAGGTATAACAGCTCATACCTGTAATTCTAGCTGCTGGAGAGGCTGGATCATCAGAAGGATCACAGTTGGAGACTAGCCAAGGCAAAAAATGTAAATGATCTCCCTTGCCCCCCCCCCCCGCCCCCCCTCCCCGCCCTCCCAGTTGTGGGACCTGAACTCTAGGCCTGGGCGCTGTCCCTCAGCTCTTCAGCTCAAGGCTAGCGCTCTACCACTTGAGCCTCTGCACCACTTCTGGCCTTTTATGTTGATGTAGTTTATGTTGATGTAGTGTCGAGGAATTGAACCCAGGGACTGATGCATACTAGGCAAGCACTCTACCACTGAGCCACCTTCCCAGCCCTTTGGGGTTTTTTTTTTGCTGTTGTTGTTGTTTTTCGGTTGTAGGGCTTGAACTCTGGGCCTGGCTGCTGTCCCTGAGCTCTTTAGTTCAAGGCTAGTGCTCTACCACTTGAGCCACAGCGCCACTTCTGGTTTTCTGGTGGTTTATAGAAGGTAAGTCTCATGGACTTTCCTGCCTGGGCTGACTTTGGATCGTGATCCTCAGATCTCAGCCTCCTGAGTAGCTAGGATTCAGGCATGAGTCACCAGGGCCCAGCTCCCAACTTTTAATAAAAGCATTTGCCTGTCATCCCAGCTACAAAGAAAGTGTTAATAGGAGGATCAAGGTTAAGACTAGCTTGGGCATAAAGTGAGACCCTATTCTAAAGTTTACTAGATCAAAAAAGGTTGGGGGCATGGCTCAAATGGTAGACCATTTGCCTAGCAAATGCAAGTCCTTGAATTCAACCCCCAGCACTGACCTCAACAACACTCCCCTAAAACAAAATAAGTTCTTATTAACCTTTACACCTGTGGATCTGGTGAAGGTGATTTCCCAGCAGAATATCAAGAACATTAATAGCTTTTTATGGTCACAAATGAGAAGATACAAGTAGAAAAACATGAGCTAAAAGTGAACTAGTTAACTTGCAAACAGAACTAAAAGGAAACACCTCTAATCCCCTCACTAGCCTCTTCAGAGTAAAACACTTGAGGATGAAGATCAACTCTATTGTACTACCAGGAAAACCTGGGCTTAAATTCATTGAATAAAAATGTTCATTCAGACAACAGTTACCCACCATCTTAGGTGGCTAAAGAGCTATTAACAAAACTTCTGGACCACAACTTAGGGTCCTAAGTAGAGAGAATTCATTTTCAGAATGCTAGATGTGACTTCTTTTCTAACAAACTATAGTTACAATCTGCTATACAGACAACCCACAAATATTTAAAGGAATTCTATCAGTTTAAACTAAAAGAAACACTGGTCCAACTGAAAGAAGTCTATGCTTTTCAATTTTTTTTTTTTTGGGGGGGGTCCGGTCGTGGGGCCTGAACTCTGGGCCTGGGCACTGTCCCTCAGCTCTTCAGCTCAAGGCTAGCGCTCTACCACTTGAGCCACAGTGCCATTTCCAGCTTTTTCTTTTTGCTTATGTGGTGCTGAGGAATCGAACCCAGAGCCTCATGCAGGCAAGGCAAGCGCTCTACCACTGAGCCACCTTCCCAGCCCAAATCTATGCTTTTCAAACTGGCACATTCATGAACCAAACTTAAGACTGCTGCTTAGGTACAAAGTAACACTCATCTCTTATGGAAAAGTAAAGTGATTCAGAATTAACACTAACTCAAAGGTTCCAGGCCAAAGATCAGAAAATCAGTGAACTGTGAAATCATCACCAAGGATAGAATTAAGTTATAGTCAAACAACAACTTCTGTTCTGTTTAAAGTTTAGAATGGCTTTGCAGCTTCTAGTACATGATGCTCTATGCTTCCTATTCCTCCACTAGAAATGGAAGTGAATATGTGATCATCAATCCCTGTTGAGATAGGGATGGAGGTGATGGTGTGGGGAAGAGGAAGAGTAACTTGTCTTCTTTGTTCCTAGGTCCTAATCAAGAAGAACCACATCCAAAGTCACATATACATCCGAGCCTGATGCAGAACAAGGCTCATGGATTCTGATGAAATGTCTAGAAATCCCGAAAATATGGGGTATATGTTACATGGTGGAGAGATATGAACTGTCCATAGGGGTAGAACTGTGCCAAGTTACTCTCAATTCTTCCCATCTTTTACATACATGCTATACCTTCCACCACAGTACAACTCCTGAGAATGGGGTACTCAACTGCAAGAATTTGGTGGAAATGATACTGTGTAGTTATAAGCCCAATCCTTCACAGAAGAGGACTAGAAATCTCTGTTTTGCTCTTCTACAACCCTGGAATCACCACATAAAGATATCTAGGCCACCATTCTGGAGTGGCCAAGAACAAAGAAAATCTTTAGTTGATGAACAGACTATGCCACTGGAGAACAAATGAGAAGTATCAACTAGAACCAGTTTAAGACCCAATATATCTGGGAGATCATCTTTAACTCTCTACCTACTTGAGTCACCTTAGGCAACACCTTGTAAACTAGATCATGCTGGCTGACATAAATAATAATACTTTGAATAAATAATAATACTTTGCATACTTAATCATAATCATCAGCATCATTATAATCATCTAAACCTAACAAGAAAAGATTATACAGAATAACTGAAGTCCTATATATTGCAGGTTAAAAGGTATCAGCCACACAACATTTTAAGAGAAGAAAATAATTCATCTTAATAATATGAAAAGGCCTTGATCTTTTGCTGATCACAAATATATTAACCGAGAGAAAATAAGCTACATCCACATTTTAAAAGTTAATGTGATTTTTAGACTTAATATACTTAAACAAAGTTCTAAGTATGTTCTAAGAACATACATGTACCATCAATCCCTGTTGAGACAGGGATGGAGGTGATGGTGTGGGGAAGAGGAAGAGTAACTTGTCTTCTTTGTTCCTAGGTCCTAATCAAGAAGAACCACATCCAAAGTCACATATATATCCAAGCCTGATGCAGAACAAGGCTCATGGATTCTGATGAAATTTGTAGAAATCCTGGAAATATGGGGTATATGTTACATGGTGGAGAGATATTGTTCACTTTACTAAGTGAACAATAGTACCAGATCCACAAAGGAATACTCTCACCATATCAAGAACTAATCTAACTGAAAAGAGAAATGTAACCTACAATGGAAAAGATTTCCTAATTCAAATGCTTCCCTAAAAGAAAGAAATCTCTTGATATTTTTTTTTTCATTTTAGCAAAACAAACCAATGATTAGGTATTGGACAAAATGTTAGGCACTAAGTATATATTATATAGTAAAAACAAAATAGAGATTGTTCCTGTGTTCACTTGCTTACATTCTAGTGAGCATCTATCCCAAGCTGACATTTAGCTGGGATGTAATGATCCATCGAGCACATCATAAAAGAAATTCACATTCCACTTACAAAAGTTAAAATACATGACCTACAAGGTTACCGCTAAATTTCAATTATTATTAATTATAGCACTATGACCCAAAATACTGTAATTATTCTAACATATAAAAACATCTAGGTATAGAAATGAATATAATGCCACAGACAAACCAAGATAAACACACTCAAAGAGACACACATGGGGGAGGTTGTTCACGTTTTCACCAAAAAAACAACTGCATCAATTTCTATGCCATTATCATACGCAAATGACTTTTAAACAATTTCAATCCTCATTAAGAAATTTTTATTTTCATCTCAAGTAATAAAAAAATCTCCTTATTTAATAACTTTCTTGTGCTAGTTAAAATAATCACAAAGAAATTAATATCTATGATTTCTCAAGGATATCTTATGTTAATATACCTTTCCATGGCTTTAGCTGTGTAAGGCAAATGCATTTCAATACTGTGTTCATCTTCATCAGTCTGTAGGGACATGCGTTCAAACATCCCTGTCTTCCATAGCTCTCCGTAAACTAAAGAGAGTACAAAATACAGTAAGACAAATATATTAGTGTGCATTTTTACCTTGGAACACCACTCTCCATAACACAAAAGTAAAAGACAACAGCACCAAACAATGCTCTACTTCACTTTCATTAAGACAACAACAAATTTTACAGATACAAAAATAGTACATGTAAAGACTTACTCATTTGCATAGGTAGCATAGTTATATTAAAATAATTTAAACTTTTTATTTATTTCTAAAATTACCTTTGAGTAAAGGCTTTTGGCTTTAATCAGTACTTACTAGGAAGAAAGGTTAATTCCTACTAAAATATGAAAACACCGTTAATCTGCTTATGTATACAGTTAAGAATACAATTTGAATTCTATTTTTTTCTAATAAAACATATGGTATTATTATTTCATACTTCAGCCTGTCATACCAAAAACCATAAAATCGCCACTTACAAACTATTTTCCTCAAACTTCAAAATTAAGTTCATGATATAATCAGAATATAAATTCATAGTACCATGCCAATCTAAAATGCGCTAGCATTTTTATTCAGACCCTTCTAATAAACTATACTCAAAACTAGAATGAAATCTAGTAAGTAAAAACTGTAATATGAAAATATTTTAAAGTAGATCCTTAAGTGAGTTAATCAATTTCAAATAAATAAATGGTGCCAGGTGCAAGCCAGATACAGCAATACACACCTGTACCCAGCTACATAGAAGATACAGGTGCCAACGAGGCACACCACTACACACCTGTACCCAGCTATATAGAAGACACAGGTGCCAACCAGGCACAGCACTACACATGTATAACCAGTGACATAGAAGACATAAGTGCCAGCCAGCTACAGCACTACACACCTGTAACAAGCTACACGAGAGGCATAGATGCAAGCCAGGTACAACACTAAACACCTGTAACTAGCTACACAGAAGGCATAGATGCCAGCCAGATACAGCACTACACACCTGTAACTAGCTACCCAGAAGGCATAGATGCAAGCCAGGTACACATGAAGACGTAGGACTGAGGTCGGCCACAGGGGACAAACACAAGGCCCTTTTTGAAAAAATAACTAAAGCAAAAAAGGGTAAGGACATGGCTCAAGTGACAGAAGACTTGCCTTAAAAGAACAAGATCCTGAATTGAAGATTTCAATACTGCTTCCCCCAGACTGCCCCCGAAAAAAGAGCTGGAGGTGTGGCTTAACTAGTAGAGTGTCTGCTTAGCAAGTTCAAGGCCATGAATTCAAACCCCAAAGCAAAAACAACAGGAAAATTGAACTGGAACTGGTGGCTCATGCCTGAAATCCTAACGACTAAAGATTAGGCTAAAATGGGGAGAATTATGATTTGAGAATAAGCCAAGTAGAAAAAATTTTAAGCGATTCCTCGATCAATAGCTAAGCATTCTGGAACATTTCTGTCACCCCAGCAACAGGGGATGCCAAGATGAGAAGGACTACAGTTCCAGGCCAGCTCCAAAATTAAAAAAAAGTCTGCAAGAATCTATCTCAACAGAAGAAGCAGAGCATGGTAACTTACCATCCCAACTCGCATGGGAAGCAAATTAGAAGACTAGGCATATGACTGGGCAGAGAAGAGGCTATCTCAAAAATAACAAGCACAAAAAAGGGCAGAAAGCATCGCTATATGGAGGGAAAGGAGAGAGAAGGAGGGAAGACTTCTTCTACAAAATCATACCTGTTTAAAAATTACCCATTTCTTTGCTGACAGCCTATCCAAACTAGTTTTCTAAATGCCCCTTTTTAAAAGTAAAGTATGTCCTGGACATCTACCCAGAATATCACATGCCAGGATACTTGCACATCCATGTTCATTGCCGCACTATTCACAATAGCCACGTTATGGAAACAACCCTACAACAGAGGAGTGGACCCAAAAAATGTGGTACCTATACACAATGGAATTTTAAACAGCCATTAAAATAAGTAATATTTTATCATCTGCGGGGAAATGAATGGACTTAGAGCAAATCATGTTAAGTGAGGTAAGCCACGCTCAGAGAGACAAACAGTGCATGTTTTCTCTCATATGCACTAGTTAGAACTAAAATACACCGGGAAACAAATTATATAAGACTCCAGGCATTCACATACAGTGAGACCAAAGGAGGACATTTTTAGGAAAGGAACACAAAGGAACAATGACTGTGCTTCTGATCATATAAAATAATATCCAAAGGAACTCCAGGAAATGGAAACAAGAGGGTTTTTTTTTGTTGTTGTTGTTGTTTTCTATCTTGTTCGTTCATTTATCTGTCTTTGGTGGGGTAAAGAGAAAACATAGAAATGGAGGGACTGAGGGTAAACAAATGCAGCAGTGGTACTCACTAGACACTATGTGGAAAATGAACTATACAATTTGTGGGTGGGGACAGGAGAACAAAACTGGGAGAGAGCAATGGAAGGGATGACACTGTCCAAAAAGAAATAAACTCCTCATCTGACTTATGTAACTGCAATTCCTCTGTATATCACATTTATAATAACAATTAAAAATAAAAAGTAAAGTGTGTCCAGGAGCTGGTGGCACACCCAGGTAACCCCAACTACACAGGAAACTGAGATCTGAGAATCATAGTTTAAAGCCAGCCCAAACAAGAATGTCCATGAGACATTTCTAATTAACCACAAAAAGCCTGAAGTAGAGCTGTGGCTCAAGTGGTAGTGTGCTAGACTTGAGTGTAAAAGCTCAAAAACAGCCTTTGGACTGGCAAAAAGTAAAAATAAAAAAGTTAAGTATCTTCCCTAAAACTATCTCAAGCAGCAAAGCTAGTAATACTGCTGGCAAGGCTAATAATACTCTAGCAAAGCTAATAATACTCCAGTTTCATTAATAAGATCCAGTCTAACAAGTTGGTAAAATACTATAACATTTCAATCCTCAGATTAAGAAAATTAAAGCACTTCCATACAACACCTTAATAACAATAAAATTATATTTACAGAAAATTAAAGAAAAAAAGAAAAAGAGCTAACCTCTTCTTTTGAAATGGAAACTTTTAGTCAAAAAAAACTACTGCAAAGTTTATTGAAGCAATATATCCCTGTCATATATAAAATACAATGGAAAAATATATATATACAGCATTAGCTGGAAAAAATAAAATAAAATACAATGGAATGAACTGAAGTATTATTTCAGAGAAAAAGGTAAAACTGAGATCAGGATAAGGAAAACTCTAGGCAAATGGTAGATAGTGAGTACATCTTTTCGCAATACAATTCTATACACTGTTCTGGAATGTTTTCATTTTCTTTCCTATATGCCTAAAAATACCTTTATAAAGTCAAAAGGTGTTCCCATATGTGTTTATTGTGTAACAATTTTACTGTGAAACAGCTAACAAAAACTGTGATCTCTGGAAAGTAAAATATGTTTAAGATTCATATAACACCATTCAGAATTTTACAACTATAGGTTCTTAAAAATTATCTGAGAATAAATAAAGACATTGTGACCATTATGTACTTAAAGTGAGAAATAGGATCCACATGGAAGTATACTAACATGCTAAGAATCTTTCATCAAGTTAATATGGATCTTAACTCTTTTTTTTTTTTGGTCGGTCACGGGGCTTGAACTCTGGTCCTGGGTGCTGTCCTTCAGCATTTCAGCTCAAGGTGAGTGCTCTACCACTTGAGCCACTGTGCCACTCCCAGTTTTCTGTTATTGGAGACAGAGTCTCACAGAGTTTCTTCCTGCCCAGGCTGGCTTTGAACCGCAGTCCTCAGATCTCAGCTTCCTGAGTAGCTACGATTAGAGATGTGAGCCACCAGCACCCGGCTGGATGTTAACTTCTGATCTCAAGGAACAACTACCACATAATCATTCTTTGAATATAAACAAGTATAGTCTGGAGACTGGTAGATCTGACAGATTGTTTTTGAGGGTTTTTTTGTTTTGTTTTGTTTTTTTGAGTACTGGTGTTTGAGCTCAGGGGCTCCATGCACTCTGTTACTTGAGTAATAACCATCTTTTGCCTCAACTATTTTTCCAATAAGGTACCCTCCCCATCCCCCAGTGAGAACTATGTTCTCAGTCAAAATCCTCTTACCTATTCCTCCTATGTAGCTGCATTTATAAGTTTATTTATTGAGACAGGGATTCTAAAAGCTTCTTGCCTAGGCTGGACTTGAACTGTGATCTGTGATCTGACTTATCTCCACCTCCTTAGTAACTGACATTACAGGTATAAGCCACTGTGTCCCACCTTGACAGATACTGAAGGTAGTAGCAAGGACACATGAATTCTCATTTAGGGTATGGAAGATTTTCTTTTATTATTTTTGTTTAATGCAAATTAGTTACAACATTTATTTTTTAAAGTGAGACATAATTCAAAATTTTTAAGTTTTTGAATTAAATTTCAATCCTAACTATTTCAAAGCTCTAACACTTCCTCATACTTACTCTTTTGGTCAATACGAAGGTCATAGAGAGGTGTCCTATATATGTCCACACTGGAAAGTGCACATCGAGAGAGGGGCACGTGATGAGAAGGCCCAAGGATGAAAACTCTCCGTCTAGGAGACACACAACAGAAGACAAAACCATTGCACTTCCACACAAACCTTCCCAAACAAGGAAAAATAACAACAATGAAAAAATTACTTGTTTTCCTTTCTTGACTATTTTTTATACCCTTCTGTCAACATGAGAGCTGGACTGGGTTCTCCCAGAATTCATAAATGCAGTCCTGACTACAATGGAATTTTGACGTAAGGTCTTCAAAGGTCTGGAAATGAAGCCAGTAGATGGGATGATAACCAATGTGACTGGTGTACTTATTATATAAGAGGACAGAAGAGGCAGCCCTCCTTGTCAGAGAAACCTCAAGGAAATCAGCCTTTCTAGTACATTGGTATTGGACTTTCAACTTTCCAGAACTGTTTATGTTGTTTACGCCACAGTCCAGAGAATTCTGTTACAGAAGACTAAGCAAACTAATACAATTAATAATGATTTCCTCCTTGCTTATTTAAGTTCAATTTCTTATGCTCCTCCCAGCCTCCATCCCCTTATTCCACTGGAGGAATGGCTATATCACAAATGTCCACAGCCAGTTGTGCATTGTTTTTTGGGGGTTTTTTTTGGTCGGTCATGGGGCCTGAACTCTGGCCTGGGCGCTGTCCCTCAGCTGTTCAGCTCAAGGCCAGTGCTCTACCACTTAAGCCACAGCGCCACTTCCAGCTTTTTCTGCTTATGTGGTGCTGAGGAATCAAATCCAGGGCTTCATGCATGAAAGGCAAGCACTCTACCACTGAGCCACCTCCCCAGCCCCAATGCATTGGTTATTTTTAAGGCAGGATCTCCCTCATGCCTGGACCCGCCTAGACTTCCCATATCATGGACAATGACAGGTGCATCACTGCATTCAACCACTGTACTTCCCCTATAGCTGGGTTAACAGGCTTACACCATCACATCCAGCCATTGGTTGAGATGGAGTGAAAACTTTTATGCCTGGGCTAGCCTCAAATCAGAATTTTCTGATCCGAGGCAATCAATTTGTACAATAAAGCAACCTGCTTTTCGTAAGTCATCCCTGTATTCATAACAGTAAGAACAGGTTTTCAGCATTATATTTGATTGAAATTCAAACATTTCAGCTATTAAAATTGCAAATCCTAATAGCTTCTAAAATCCCTCACAAGTTCAATAAAAATAAATAATGGTATAAACTTCTAGAGTTATATAAAAACCATTCCAAATAAACATTTCAGGAAAGTGAATTCCACATTTCTTCCATGGCAGAGAACTCCCCCTCTCTCTTGCCAGTCCTAGGGCTTGAACTCAGGGCCTGAGCACTGTCCCTGAGCTTCTTTTGCTCAAGGCCAGCACTCTACCACTTGAGCCACAGTGCTTTTTCTGACTTTTTCTGTTTATGTGGTACTGAGGAATTGAACCCAGAGCTTCATGCATTTTAGGCAAGCACTTTACTACTAAAGCCACATTCCCAGCCCAGCAGAGAACTCTTAAGTAATAAGCTTTCTCTATTTTCCTTTCAGTAGAAGGCATCTTCAAAAACAATGGTTGCTGGATTGCTATTTGCACTGAAGTCTAGCTAAAGAAAGAACTGAGCTAAACTGTAGCTTAAATCTTTGCAGTCCCTTTCTTTTCAAGTCAAAAGTATCTCAAATTTCCAAACCAGCTCTGCAATGTAAATTCCAAACAGTCCATTTTCTCTAGAGTCAAAGGGGCCAATATTCCCCTACCACACAGTAACAGCAAAACCAATTCCAGACTCACAGAAATACAATGATTGATGAAGAAAGGAATACAGAACAGGTTTTATACCTAGTTTTGCACTAAGATGATAGTTTTTCACATCAAAATTTTGTAGGCCAAGAAATGTGTCCAGTAGAATTCAATGCTGTGTTGGGCATGATGGCCCATGCCCACATGCCAACTCAGGAGGCCAAGAAAGAGAAGCCGATTCTCCTCCCTTCAAGGTCTCATGTTAGAAATTCACCTCATCCTCAAACCACTTCTAGTCAAATGTGTCTGTTTTTACCTTCACCCCAAGTGTTTGAAGCACTATAAGTAACCTTCACTCTCCATCAGTACTCTCTCAAGGACTAGATAACCATTTCAAAAAGTTACATATTCTTAAATGAACAAAACAGAGAAGTACCGTTTTGTTCTCCTATGTTAAAAATAGATAAATATTATGAAAAATGTATTTATTGCAGGCTAAGGTAAAACATAAATAATGGTAATAGGAATGTTTCAGTCACTTGACTAATGCCAGATATGTTGTTCTACAGTCCCAGCTACTCAGAGGCAGAGGCAGGAGAATCGCCTGAGTGAAGGACGTCAAAGTCACTCTGGGTAATACAAGGAGACAGACCTTCATCACTTTAAAAAAGAAAAAAAGACGACTCAAGTAGGAAAAGGGGCATTTTCTGATTGACGAATAAATTGCTAGAAAAAGACAGATGAATATAACATTTAAAATCCAGAAAATTCTAGGACATCTGGTTAAAATTCTAAATAATACATATGAAATGTCAGTCTAAACTCCAAGGCATATATAACTTTTAAGTTATATATGTAACTATATGTAACAAGTAATTATTGCCAAAAAGTGACCAGGGCTGCAAAAATAAGCACTGGAGGTGGGCTAGATGCCCAGGTCCTCCCCCCAGTGCTTGCCTTTTTGTCAACCCTAACCTACACCAGGGGAAAAGAGCTTGGAAAAATCTAAATTCACCAACTGTTGGCCCCCTAGATACTTTCCAGTTTGGTAGAAATTCACCCATAGCTAACACAATGAATTTCACATTTGATTTAGAAAAATCAAAAATAAGAGGCAAAATTTTTGCTTAATATAAAGCACTTAAAAATAATATACTCAAAAGCAATGCAGAAAAACTACAAAACATTGAAAGGGGGTAGTATCAGGCATAGTAAGCCAGAAATAATTTCACATAGGTCTTGGTTAGCCAAATGCTTTTTGTTCATCAGTTGAAGATAAGAGTTTTTTAGATTTGTCTTCCTTGGCTGGCTTTGGACCACGAGCCTCAGATCTCAGCTTCCTAAGTAGCTAGGCATGAGACATCAGTGCCTGGCATCAGTTCATTCTTTAGCCATCTAACAATTTAGCTTCTAAGGGTTTTCTTGTTTTTTTAAATACTAATCTATATTATTAGTACTAAAAATAGTTATCCAATACTGCTCATTGTTACATTATAAGCTAGGAGTATTTTAATATAATTTAATCTTTTTAATTATCACTTTTAATAATGTCTAATCATGTCTCATAAGCAAGAATAGTGTTCCAAATGAGCTGAGACTAGAAATTATTTTCTAGTTAACATAATACATTCATCTACCCAGCATATATACCTTGATGTCTTAAACTAAACATTTTACAAGTTGTCACTTAATATTCCACATTTTATCTTGTCATTCTAAGACCTTGTTTTGTTTTGTTTTTTGGTTGGTCACGGGCCTGAACTCTGGGCTTGGGCGCTGTCCCTGCACTCTTCAGCTCAAGGCAAGTGCTCTACTGCTTGAACCACAATGCCATTTCCAGTTTTCTAGTGGTTTATTCGAGATAAGAGTCTCAGGGACTTTCCTGACTGGGCTGGCTTTGAACCACAATCCTCAGATCTCAGCCTCCTGAGGAGCTAGGATTACAGGCATGAGCCACCGGCACCCCGCTCTAAGACCTTTTTAAAGCATACAAGTACTCCACTATTTTTTTTTTGTTTTTTTGTTTTTTTTTTTTTGGGGGGGGGGTCCGGTCGTGGGGCCTGAACTCTGGGCCTGGGCGCTGTCCCTCAGCTCTTCAGCTCAAGGCTAGCATTCTACCAATTGAGCCACAGCACCACTTCCGGCTTTTTTCTTTTTGCTTATGTGGTGCTGAGGAATTGAACCCAGAGCCTCAGGCATGCAAGGCAAGTGCTCTACCACTGAGCTACCTTCCCAGCCTCAAGTACTCCACTATTTTTAAGTGCCATGAAGTGCCAGATTATTTAAATTGCGGTGCTGGGGTTTGAGCCAAAGGCTCCCTAGGTGCAAAGCAAGTGCTCTGCTATGTAGCGCATGTCCCAGACCCACTTTTTTTTTTTTGGATGTAGGATCTTTTTTTTTTTTTTTATTGTAAAGATACTATACAGAGGGTTACAGTTACATGAGTGAGGTAATGAGTACACTTCCTCTTGAACATTGTTACCCCCTCCATTGTTTTCCCCCTACCATCCCCTCCCTCCCTCCCTACCCCGAGGTTCTTTTTTTTTTATTGTGATTAAGTGATTACATAATTTCCAGAATTTCACAGTATTGTGGAATAATGATGCTCATTTAAAGTCACATGTTCATTCTAACTTTCCTGGAGCAAATTGTCTATCACGGTCTGTAACATATAACGGTGTTCACATGTTATATACCATATACGTGATCAGCAGCATGGGGATATTTAGTAGTGGTTCAACCAGATGAGTGGGAGTTCTTTGTTTTGGATGTAGGATCTTAATAGGTTCCCTACACTGGCTTCAAACTCCTCCTGCCTCAGCTTCCCAAATGTGGAAATTACAGGCATGTATCACCATACACAGCCTTTGCTTACATTCTTAAAAGATTATCCCAAATGACATGCAGAAAATAGATTAGTGCAAAAAGTAAGAATGGAAACTAGTGATGTTTTTTCTTCTACACTTCTCATAGTTCCCAGAATTATGTTTTTTCTCTATTTTCTCATAGGACTGCAAAGATACTGCAATCCACAGGAAAGGGCTTTTTTGAAAGAATACAGCTGTGACTATCAATTATTATTTTGACATTTAAACTTTTTGTTGTTGTTGTTGGTTGTGGGGCTTGATATCTGGGCCTGGGAGCGATCCTTGAGCTCTTCAGCTCAAGGCTAGCACTCTACCACTTGAGCCACAGCGCCACTTCTGGTTTTCTGGTGGTTACTGGAGATACATGGACATTCCTGCCCAGGCTGGCTTTAAGCTGTGATCCTCAGATCTCAACCACAATTTTAAAAGTATAATAATTAACTACAAAATGATTAAAGAACTATGCATCCTTTTTTTAAAATGTTCATCTCTAAGTTTGCAAAGAAATTTTTAAATGTTAACTTTTTATAGTTTCAGAATGAAACCAAAGAGAAGGTAAAGGCTAAATGTTCATACACAGAAAAAACCCTAAGGTATGTTCTAACATCATAAAGTCAAATTTCTTTTTTTTTGGTCAGTTGTGGGACTTGAACTCTGGGCCTGGGCACTGTCCCTGAGCTCTTCAGCTCAAGGCTAGCACTCTACCACTTGAGCCACAGTACCACTTCCAGTTTTCTGAGTGGCTTATTGGAGATAAGAGTTTCATAGACTTTCCTGCCCAGGCTAGATTTGAACTGTGATCCTTAGATCTCAGCCTCCTGAGTAGCTAGGATTCCAGGCGTGAGCCACCGTCGCCTGGCCTAAAGACAAATTTCTAATTCCAATGAATTACAAAAATTACGACAAATGAAAAACAAGTTACTTCCATGACAAAGCAGTCATCATCACGTAATTCTGAAACATCCCAGTTTGAACTAACTACATTACTTACGTAATAGATGGATCCACTTGTTTGTAAGCATGGGCAGCACAAGACCCACAGTACGTGTATCCTGCATGGCTACAAAACAAAATAATTTTTTAATCGAATTCAAAATCATGATATCCTGAAAAAGCACTTTAGAAAGAAATACAATTAACTACAGTAAGCACAACAGATTGAGTGTACAAACAAAAAGCAATGTAATGATATAAAGTCTAGAATAAAGAAAACATTTATTCTTTATTATACCGTGATTTTAAATTTTTAAAAAATAGTTTGTAATCTTTGGACTATAGACTACAAATATGAAGATGTTCAAGGCTTTAATGAAGTTGGTCAGTTAGCACTAATAATGTATGTTTCTAATCCTCCTCTGCAGCTATATTAAAAATGTTTACAAAGCAATGTCTGTTGTTAGCAGTGAAGGAATGACTAGGTTTCTCTGTACAGTGTATAACCCTCATTTTCTTTCTACACAATTTTCCTTTTCATGCCCTTCTTTAAGCATTGGCAGTTCTCTGACTGCCTACAGATTCCCATTCTCCTTAACTGCATTTTTCTTTCTTGATGTCTTCAAATTACAGAAGTTAAAAGTCACTTCCCTAATGCTTGCTCATTTGTATGTAGCCAGTGGTAAAGTGATGAATATTTTAATAGGCTCCACAAGGGGAAAAAAACCTATGCATATACATATGCATGTAACTTTATTCTAAAATTTTACTGAGATAAACAGACATGTCACGATGTACAAATAATGACAAAAATATGTATTGCTGTGCCAGATGCCAGTGGCTCATGTCTATAAATCTAGCTACACAGGAAGCAGAAATCTAAGGATTTTGATTCAAAGCTAGCCCAGGCAGACAAAACCAGGAGACTTTTATCTCCAATTAACCAGTAGAAAGCCAGTAGCTCAAGAGGTAGAGCACCAACCATGAGTGAAAAGAGTACAGCAGGAGTGCAAGCTCAGAGTTCAAGTCTCAGTACATGCACACACATGTATATACACACATGAACACACACATACCAGGACATAAAGGGCTGGTAGCATAGCTCAAGCAGCAAAATATAGGCAGATGTAAAGCCTTGGATTCAAGTCCCTGTATGTATGCATGTTTGTATGTATGTATGTATGCACACAAGGATGGATAGATGAATACAAGTATAACCAGACTTAGAATGAAAGATAAAAGAGTTCCAAAGAAGGTTCACAAAACTATGTAAATATGTGTAACACTACATTCATAGTTAACAAATTTTATGTTATATGTATTTTACTACAATTTAAAAAAAACTTTAGGGCAGATGAATGAAAAGAAAAATAGTGAACAAATATAGCCATAGTACACAAAATGCCTATGCCAAAACTGAACTAAGAAACTTGGGACAAGATTGATGGGGATGGAGATATAAAGAGTGACTCTGATCAAAATACATTGTAAGCTGGGCACGGGTGGCTCAGCCAGGAGGCTGAGATCTGAGGATCCCAGTTCAAAGCCATCCCAGGCAGGAAAGTTCATGAGACTCTTACCTCCAATAAACCACTAGAAAACCAGAAATGGCACTGTGGCTCAAGCAGTAGAGCACTAGCCTTGAGCTGAAGAGCACAGGACCAGTGCCCAAGCCCAGAGTTCAAGCCCCACGACCAACCAAAAAAAAAAAAAAAAAAATACATCGTATACAGAAACTGACATATTACACAAAAACCCCCTTTGAAGAAAATGTTTAATAATTTTAATGATACAAATAGAAACTTCATCAAAGAATACATTAAATTACATAATCTTACAAAAGGGATACTCAACATCAATTTGTCATTAGGGAAAGGCAAAATGAAGCCATAATGAGATACCATTAATACCCACTGGAATAGATAAAATTAAGAAGTGACCATACCAAATGTAGCAAAAATGTAGAAAAACTAAATCTAGAGTACACTGGGTAGATCACATTTCAAGGCCAGTCAGGGCAAAAAGTTATCAAAACCTTATCTCAACCAACAAGCCAAGCAAGAGGGTAAGCATCTGCCTATAATCCTACATAGTAGGAGGCATTGATAGGAAGATAGCGGTCTAAGGTCAGCCAAAAATGGAAGACCCTATCCAAATAAATATGTAAAGCAAAAACAAAGGCTGGATGTATGGCTCAAGTGGCAAAGCATCACTTGCAAGCACAAGACCCTAAGTTAAAACCGGAGTCACATTTCATACTCGCAAAAAAAGAAAGAACAACTAAAACCCTTATACTGATGGAAATGATATGATTATTGTGGAAGACAATTTGGCAATTTCTTAGAAAGTTACATATACTTATACCATGTAACTCAACCATTCTACTCTTAAAATAAAAAGTATTATGTCACACACACAACTGTACATAAATGAGTCACGGAAGCTTTAATTTCAATAACCAAAAGCTCCTGGAAATAATCAGAGTCCCTTACAAGTGAATGGACAATTGAAGTACAGCAATACAGCAAAATACTCTTCATCAATAAAAAGAAATAAACTCAAAATAATTATGCTGTTTTAGCCAGCACTGGTGGCTCAAGTCTGTAATCCTAACTAGTCAGGAGGCTGAGATCTGAGGATCATGGTTCAAAGCCAGCCCCAGCAGGAAAGGCCACGTGACTCTTATCTCCAATAAACCACTCAGAAAACCGGAAGTGGTACTGAAGCTCAAGTGGTAGAGTGCTATCCTTGGGCTAAAGAGCTGAAGGACAGAGCCCAGGCCCAGAGTTAAAGCCCCACAACTCTCTCTCTCTCTCTCTCTCTCTCTCTCTCTCTCTCTCTCTCTCTCTCTCTCTCTCTCTCTCTCACACACACACACACACACACAATAATAATTATGCTGTTTTAAAAGAAAAACAATAAATAAGCATGCTGAGAAGGAAAACACAGACAAAAAGAACTCCCATTATATGGGAACACATTGTATGATCCCATTAAACAAGTCTAGAAAGTTAACACTAGTCTGAAGAGACAGAATAAACTGGTGAACATGATGGGGAAGGAGAGCAAAAGAAATAAATAAATTATAAAAGGACACATGAACTTTTTTGGGGGGAGGGGTCCAGTCGTGGGGCCTGAACTCTGGGCCTGGGCGCTGTCCCTCAGCTCTTCAGCTCAAGGCTAGCGTTCTACCACTTGAGCCACAGCGCCACTTCTGGCTTTTTTCTTTTTGCTTATGTGGTGCTGAGGAATTGAACCGAGGGCCTCATGCATGCAAGGCAAGCACTCTACCACTGAAACACCTTCCCAGCCCAACACATGAACTTTTGAGGAAAAGTATGTTCATTTTCTTTTTTTTTTTTTGGGTCCGGTCATGGGGCCTGAACTCTGGGCCTGGGTGCTGTCCCTCAGCTCTTCAGCTCAAGGCTAGCGCTCTACCACTTGAGCCACAGCGCCACTTCCGGCTTTTCTCTTTTTGCTTATGTGGTGCTGAGGAATCGAACCCAGGGCCTCATGCATGCAAGGCATGCGCTTTACCACTGAGCCACCTTCCCAGCCCCATGTATGTTCATTTTCTTAACTGTCAGTGATAGTTTTGCATCCATATGTCAAACATCAAGCTCTATAACTTATATGCACTTGTAAGTTAAATCCTACCACATTACAGCATTTTAAAAAAATGCTTCTCACTGAGCTAACGTAGGTATGGAGGGAAAGTCAATCACAGCAATACAGGTAAGTAACAGGGAACATGCACTGTAACTCTGGTAAGAACGCCTATCAAGCTGCCTCAATATGGGGATGCTCGGGTAACCAATCTTAGCCAAAAGGGAATCTAAGTAGTTCTTTGGCTCAGCACACAGCTTTGCCTCATCCTATATTTCATCCTGATACTAAATCTGACCAAGGGACATGTTTTAATCTGTTATGTTCATTCTCAAACTTAATTTGCTATTTTCTTTCTTCAATTTAAAGACTCTGGTCTCTCCTGTTTTTCTAGTCTGATTCTTGTCCAGCTTCATCAGTCCTGTTTCTAACCAATGTCCACTCTAGAAAGCATCCAGAAACACTGCCTACTTCGTAAAGACTGAGGACAGAAATAGGAAGAGTACAAGAGTAAATACATAAAGGAAGAAAATAAAAGCCAAAAGAATCACAGACACAAATGTTGAAGTGCGTGACAGAGATGAGAAATACAAGACAATCTTAGTGTAACAGAGTAACATGAGGCTAGAATCAACAGAGGGGTCTAGGCTTGATAAAACAAAATATGTGAAAATGTGGTGAACTCCTAAACAGACTATGACAACATGAAGCTACTATTAGTACAACACTGTAAACCATTGGTACAAAGGACAGATTAGAGACAAGTATGAAGAAAACTCTATTGGAACCAGGACAATGCTAAATTCAAGCATGAGGCATTTGTGCAATGGCATCAGTGCTAGTGAAAAATGAGAAATTAATGTTCTAGAATCTTAAAAAGAAAAACAGACTAGTGAACAGGAAGATGATGAGAAAGAGGAAGGATAATGGTAACATTTACTATAATGTATAGTTCAAAGCATTAATCTAATCCATACACTATTCTCCTAAAGACAGAAATCCTCTTCTCGTTTTTACAAATAAAGAAACTAAAGCATAAAGGTTAAAAGATATACTCACTGTCAACTCCACACTAGGACTTGGGGCTATATATATAATATATATATATATATATGTATGTATATATATCCAAATATGAATATATATGTCCAAATATGAATATATATATTCATATTCGGACTTGAGGCTAGCCAATAGTAATCTATAACCCATGCTCAGAGCAACTACAAGAGACCCTCACGTTTGAAGGAATAATAAAAATAAAAAATAAAAAAAAACATGGAGTAAGTAGGGAAAAGCAATAAACCCACAAACTGTTGTAAATACTTAAGAATCATACCCTATAGGAAAGGATTGATATTGAAACCATAATTAACTATGGTAAATAACATGGTTTATAATGGAAATCAGAACTCTTCATTTTAGTGAAAACTAAGTCTGCTTGAAGTAAAAACAAACTAGTTGCAGGGAGAGATAAGTCAATTTGCACAGATCTTAACTTGGATAAAGAATATGCTGAGA